ATAGTACTGTCGGCATGTTCACTGTTAATGAATCAACAATGTGTATAAAACAAAGTTATGTAGTGATCGGTTGATGAAAATGGGTTGACCAGATGTCTGCAGGATCCTGATCTTGCAAGAGGTCCTATCCCAGAGCCTCCAGAAGGAACTGGCCCCGAGATGAATTTCAACTTTTGGCCTCCAGAATTATAGAATAACTTTGTGTGGTTGTAAGCCACTGCAGTTGTGGTCATTTGTTACAGCAGCTATAGGAAATTAATACAGGCTTACAATAAGAACGTGTGGAAAACAGAGTGGCTAACCTTGCCATAAAAAAGCATGTGGTATATATTTGTGCACTCTTGCTGCAATGGCATTGATGTTTATTGTAGAGCAAAAATCTACAAGTATTTATGTCATGATTTGGTGGCTGTTTTAAATTTTTTTAAATAAGCCTTTATAGAAGAAATAAACCCAAAGCATGCATTTTTTAATTTAAAAAATTAAGTTCTTTGATTTATTAAGGAAGTTAAGAATGAACACACAACTTGCTCAAACTATTTTCAACACCTATGTGTACCCGGTGGGTAGCACTGTCTAGGTGAAAAGCAAAAGACGCAAATCTGCCAAAGAAGCCTCAACATCTATTTCACTAGTTAATACTTAAAGAGACAGTGCTGAAAGATGAGTTTCAGACGGGCAGCTGCAGAAAGTGCATTTACATTTCATTCTGTGCGGCATGCGTGGCCCTTTTATTTAGGTCCAATATTCAACTCAATAAATTTCATTTGTTTCTGCTTGCAAATTTTCTTGAGTGCATACAAAAAATGAAGCTACAATGCATGTCGTTTGACATCAGCCAGGAACCGGTGTCGTTAAATAGTGGTTACCTCTCCTATTCCTTCTGCCTCTTCCTGAGCCATTCTCTTACAGCTTTAAATCTCACCTCTTTCAATGTCTTAACATAATGCATAGCCCAGAGTTATTGATGAAAATGTGTAGCTTTCTGTCCTGCTGGTGTGGCTCAGTGGTTGAGCGTCTACCCATGCACCAAGAGGTTGATGGTTTGATTCCCAGCCAGGACACATGCCCAGGTTGTGGACCTGATCCCCAGTAGGGGGCATGCAGGAGGCAGCCAATCCATGTTCTCTTTCATCGATGTTTCTCTCTCTCTCCCTCTCCCTCTCCCTTCCTCTCTCTCTAAAATCAATAAAAGAAAAAGAAAAAAGAAAATGTGAAAAAAGAAAATGTGTAACTCTCATTGAGAACACTACTCTAAATTCCTTTCTCACCTGACTGAGGCATAGTTAAGCACAACGAACCACAGGTTCTTAAAAAGGCAGTTTACTTTAAGAGTGCAATGTTTGAGACAATAAACACATTTCATTCTCTCCTACTGCTTACTCCTGGGAGCAGAGGGCTCCTCCTTCTCTGGCTCCACTGGCTTATGAATGGATATGTTCAATGCTGAGACAGCAGACAGAGTTGAATGAGCTCCTTTGGTACTCACCTTAGCGTCCTGGTGTGGCTGGGTACTCCTAGGTGTCTGTGGGGAAAGCCCTGAAGAGCAGGGTGAGGAGGTCCGCAGGTGTCCCCAGAATGATCAGAAGATACCAACACAACTCATCTGCCTCATCTGCCTGGCTTCACACAGGTGTCTATGGTTTCAATGCTCTTCTTTTAAAAATTTATCTTTATTGTTGAAAGTATTACAGATGTCCCTCCTTTTCCTCCCCATTGATTCCCTCATCCCCACACCCGCTCCACCCCCTGCCTTCACTGCTCTGTTGTCTGTGGCCATTGGTTATGCATATATGCATATAAGTTCTTTGGTTTATCTCTTCCCACCCCACCCCATCTCTTCTCTCTGAAATTTGTCAGTCTGTTCCCTACTTCCATGTCTCTGGATCTATTTTGTTCATTTCATTCCACAAATGAGATCATGTGGAACTTCTCTCTCTAACTGGCTTGTTTCACTTAGCATAACACTCCCCAGGTCCCTTCATGTCATCTCAAAGGGTAAAAGATCTTTCTTTCTTACAGCTGCATAGTATTCCATTGTGTATATGTACCACAGCTTTTTTATCCATTCATCTACTGATGGACCCTTGGGCTGTTTCCAGATCTTAGCGATTGTAAACAGCACTGCTATGAACATGGGGGTGCATATATTCTTTCTGGTTGTTTTGGGATTCTTAGGGTATATTCCTAGAAGTGGGATCACTAGGTCAAATGGCAGTTCCATTTTTAATTTTTTAAGGAAACACCATAGTGTTTTCCACAGTGGCTGCACCAGGCTGCATCCCACCAGCAGGGTGCTGGAGTCCCCTTTCTCCACACCCTCGCCAGCAGCGCTCTGCTTCTTGACCTCACACAGGGGGGACAGTGAGTGGCAGTCTTTCTCCTCACCCGGTTGCAAGTAGAAGCAGCTGTAGGCCAGTTGCTCAAAAGCTGGTTACTAAAGGGTCCATCTAATTAATTAAATTATTCTTATCTTCATAAGCTTTTGTAACATACAAAATTTGTCTCTCCAAGATTTCTTGCTGCCATAGCTGCAGACCAAAAGGACAGTGAAGAAGAGATATAACATATTCAAGAGCATGATCTTTAAAATATTTGAGCATAAAAGTCTCATACATTTTTTGTGACTATATAGAAGTATATATACTTTTTCCATCAACCAAACTAAACTGTTTAGTGAGTAATTTTGGCCCAGGGCTCGCTGTGACCTTCCTGCTGCTTCTGTGTGTCAAGTTGGGGGTAGTTCTGGACACGACTTTCGTCCTCTGAAATTTGTTTGCTCAAGAAGGCCCCTTGTCATTCTGCATGTTTATCACAGGGACCAACAGATTGCTCCTGTCTCCATCCTAAATGTATTTACCTGACACTTGTGCAAAACCTTGGCCTTCATCATGCTTATCAATCGCAAAACTTTGGACACGTTGCTGGAACTGCCATTCCAAGGCATGAGTGCTGTGATTGGTTAATGTTTCCTGAACACTTTCCTGTTCATGCTCACATCTGACACCTCCTACTTCCCATGAAGAGTCTCTGCAGCTCCAGGACACACACGTGCACAAGCAGAAAAGCCTGATGAACGGTGAGCATCTCCAGAGATGCTCCTGGGGTTTAGGTCTCTGTCTCGGCATCATTGACATCTTGGACTGGAGACGCTTGGGCCGCCAGGGGCATGACAGCTCGTCCTGCGGCATCTCTGGCTCCACCCACTAGATGCTAGTTGCACTCCTACCCCAGTGGTCATAACCCGGTATGTCTCCACACTGCCAGTGTCCCCTGGGGGATAAAACTGCCCTCCGTGTACAAACACTTAAGGTGACACTCATACAACCCTCCCACGGGAAATTCTAAAACGCTACTTACCATTGCCTGGTGAAGGGTTCGCCTCACTAACAGTACCGAGGGGGCGTCAGCGCGCAGGGTTCAGTGAGGCTCAGAAGAGCGGGGAGAGCGGCAGCGGTGCAGACGGTTGGGGCTGGGAGCGCGATCTCTCCTACGTAAACAGTTCTGTGTCTGTTGAGCCCTCGGATGACACGTTTAGATTGAGGATGGCCACTCGGGCAGCACAGCCAACGCCAAGTTCCACAACTGCGGAGCAGCCACCAGCCTGGCGGTGAACGGCCAGGCACTGATAAGCAATTGAATTGATTTTATACTTTTTTTTCCCAATAAATATATATATATAAATCAGTGTTACTGTGACTGATTTTCCAAGAATAAGGGGTAAGAATCCTGTTGGTTTTTTTCCTTCTTGACAGAGACTGATGCTCGAGATGCTTCAGTTGGTGGGAATTGCTGTCTAGGACAAAAATAACACAGCACAGGCATTGTGCTTCACGGGTGTTATCTCACAAACTGAAGGCAAGCCCCTCCCCCCCCAACAAAAAGATTACAACTCACTTTATTGCAACACTGGCTTTACACAGTGGTCAGAACCCACAGCATCATTGAGGCGTGTCTCTATGTTCCAACTTCCAACATAATCAGCTTGGCTTCATTTCAAAGAAAGCCTTTAACTTCAGGTTTGGATAAGCCTAGTCTGGATGTCCCTACAAATGCTAATTCAAAATCCCCTAGGTTGGCCCAGCCGGTGTGGCTCACTGGTTGAGCGTCGACCCATGCACCAAGAAGTCGCCAGTTCGATTCCTGGTCAGGGCACATGCCCAGGTTGTGGGCCGGGTCCCCAGTGGGAGGCATGCAGGAGGCGGCCAATCAATGTTCTCTCTCATCGATGTTTCTCTCTCTCTCTCCTCTCCTCTCTCTAAAAAAAGTCAATAAAGAAAAAAATCCCCTAGGTTGTTTCGAATAAATTCCTGCTGAATAATCCTGGCCCTGGCACAGAGATGAGCAGGACTCCCCTCCATGGGATCACTGCTTCCTTTCCAAGCTTCAGGCCGGCTCCCCTTGTCCTTTCTAACCCACGTCCTACAATTCTTGACTCGGTCTTTCCAGTCTTTCCATGATAATGCAAGTAAAGTCAGGAGGGGGGTAATTAGCACATAGAATACATTATAAAATCTATCATATATATATGGACACGTGTGCACGCACACACACACGCACAATCACATCCCCACTGAGAAGGACAAATGCTTGGTCAGTTTATGTTCTCAAATGACAAGAAAATAAAAGATGTCTGAAGGCAAGATTTGGGAATGAGATAACAAGTAGATTTTCACTACAAGGGGAATATCTTTAAAACACCAGTAACCAAAAAAATTTAAAACTCTTTAAAAATTGATACGGCTCTTTTATAAAACATATGGAGTGATAAAACACACACAAAAATCAGATTCAACTATAATACACAAGCCAACGTAAAAGAGTCTGCTTTCTTTTTGATTTTATACATTATTTTACACTTTTTAAACTCATTTCGGACCTTGCACATCCTGGAGTTGTATATACTGTCCCAAAAGCTCTGCTACAGACAGACAAGTTCAGTAGCAGTTTCCATCCACATTTACCCATTTTTGTTTAAAAAATATAAAGAGTCTGTTTCATTTTTAAATTTTATATGGCATATTTTTATTATAAAGTCACTGAAATCACTTTGGACCCAGCATGTCCTTCGGCTTCACCCACTCATCAAACTGCTCGGCCGTGAGAAAGCCGAGCTCAATCGCAGTCGCCTTCAGGGTCGACCCGTTTTTGTGCGCTGTCTTCGCGATCTTCGCCGCCTTGTCATATCCTGCAGGGAAACCGGAAAGGCGACACAGGCGTCAGTACTGAAAGTTGGCTTTCTACAGCCAAAGGTAATCATAATTTACTTGACATTGATGCTACCGATCCCTTTCGTAATCTTTTTTATCTTAAAAACATTTAACAGCCCAGCCGGTGTGGCTCAGTGGATTGAGCGCCCTCCCATGGACTGGGAGGTCCCTGTGCGATTTCCGGTCGGGACACGTGCCTGGGTTTTGGACTCGGTCCCCAGAAGGGGGCGTGCAGGAGGCAGCTGATAGATGTTTCCATCTCTCTCTCCTTTCCTCTCTCTCTAAAAAAATCAATAAAAACATATTTTAAAAAACTAATTAATTAAAAATATATATATTTAATAGTAATTATCTTAGTTGTCATTTCTAACAGTGACTATCCTAATGGTTGTCATTTATTACATAGAGTAAAATCTTTACTTTTCTTAGTAATACAGATTTAAATATACTCACTTTCTCCAACAGATTTGTTCCTAAATTGAAACTGCCCACTCAGATATTTTACAGAGGGGAATACAAAAAACAAAAAAAACAAAAAACAAAACCCACAAGAAAGCACCAATACATACAAATACACATCCGAGGAGTACGAATGTGCTGTTTCAAACATGCTTAACCAGAAGCACTGTCCTTAAGGGCATCAGGCTCGAGGCTGAGGCTGCGGGCCGGCACTGTGAGCGGACAGCGAGGGCCGCCAGGCCTCGAGGGGGCGCTGTCACGGCCACTTCCAACAGCTCCTCTCTGCGCCGCACCCGCACCTGCCTCTGCCCAGACTGCAAGGAATCGGTGGGGGACTCGTAGCATAAACATACGTTGTACAGAAGATCTCGGGTCTACTGCTTACTGCAGAGTCACCTACTTTTAAAATTAATAAAGGTAGGGGCAGGACAGTTCTACAAATTGTGCTGACTTAACATAATTTTTAAAAGTCAGAGGGGAAAATTAAGAAAGAACAGAAAAAATAAAAATGAAACCAATAAAGGAGGGAAAGAAGATCAGGGGCAGAGAAGCCTGCAGAGACGGCTGGCCACCAACCCAGTCAGATGCACGTCAGTGCGCAGTCACTGCCCACTCACACAAATTAGGCCTCAGCTCATTAGGTCCCTGAATCTGGGAGGCTACACATGCTGGAAGGGCATTTACAGATCCGAGTGATCAGACAAAGAATTCTCACACTACACGTGAGGGGGCGAGCTCAGCTATTCCGTCCCGTTGTGTGAGTGCTGACGGGAAAGTCTGAGCAGGGTGCTGACCACTCGGCTCTCTTCAAGTCCCAGCTGGCCTGTTACACACCCACAAAGAGCGGGCGTAAGGCTGGGCTCTGCCACCGTGAGGTGTGACCTGCCCGCTTACCCTGGCATGGCCTTCACCTCGCAGTGAACAGATTCCAGGGAAGACTCATCAGTCGTTTCGCTGCAGGAGCACCTCTAACTGAAATGTTATGGCAACACGTTCTGCGGTATAGACGCAATAAAACATTTCTCACGCGAGCCTGAGTCCCCCTGGGCATCTCACCAGTGGCAGCTGAGGTACGTAATTTTAAAAGGGTCAAAATGTCGTCACCAATCTCAGTTGTGCAGCAAAGGACACGTCTCATCCTGGCCCAGAGCTACCCGAAGCCGTCAGATGAGCACTAGACTTATAAGACTAACACTGAAGATTGATGTGATGCCAAGAGTATGAAATCAGCCCTGAAAGCTCAGGACTATAGAAGAATGTTTAAAGCTCTGACCATCTCATGCCACATGACTGCATCCTAACCTGTTCTAAAACGGCAAATCAAAGGCTATGTTCATCTCAGCTCAGCAGTGGAAGGGGGGAGAGGCTGTTAACACGTCATCACATGCGGTAGGAGACCCCTCAGAACCCCAGTCACACAGGGAACTGCCGGGGGGCACCGCGCTGGGTCTGCAGCCCAAGCCCGTAAGTCTGAATCTACGTAATGAAATATTTACAGTTCTGGAAAAGGCTTGCAACACAAAAGCCGTGGTTTTAGACAAAACATTTGCATTTTCCCTCCTTCCCTATAATCAATAAATAACCCTTTTTCTTTTTCTTGGTAACTTCACATTTTTTAATTGAACAGAACAAAACAAAGTGTAGCTGAGCATCTAGAGAAGATGGGAAAAATGAATTCGCTCCCCGTTGCTAGTCAGCCAGTGCCACCTAGTGACACCACCAAGGAAGACACTTCTTCCCAGTGGCTCAGGATACAAAGCACCTGAATTCCATTAAGATTAAAATAAGTCTGAACTACTACTTCTGAATTTACCACATTTTCAAATAAAGTAAAGAAAAATCAATCAAGTTTTTGAAAGAATATGACACCACCCGTTATATAGTGTCTTAACAACACAATTTCAAATATTTTATAAGATTTTACTTTTTAAACAGTGTCCAAAAGGAAATTGTTGCCTATAAACACGATCCATCCAGTAGCCTCTTAAATGTTTTCAGTTTAACTTTGTGTTTAATGACACGTTCTTCCGCAAAGCCTTACCTATGTGAGGGTTGAGCGCGGTGACCAGCATCAGAGACTCGTTCATCAGCTTGTCGATCCGGTCCCTGTTGGCCTGGATCCCCACCACGCAGTTCTCGGTGAAGGAGACGGCCGCGTCCCCCAGCAGCCTGGCTGAGTGCAGCACGTTCTTAATCTAAGACGAGGAGACAGGCGTATTAAGCCTAACTTCTTTTGTCCAATAACCTACAGTATTACATACTGATTCATAAAAGAATATATAATTCAATACACATACAGCACTCCTACAACTCTTAGGCACCATATCCAAGACAATAACTATAAAAGAAATACACACTGGAGGGCACAGAAATCTAAAAAAGGAATAAATAACAAATATAAATAACAAATACAAGATAGCCTGTGGCGTTATGAAACACAGGTGTGAGATGTCAGAGAGCCTAGAGGAAGAGAATGAATCCCAGGTGCAGGACCAGGTGAAGTCCCATCTGGACCAGGCCCGCACAGCCAGACGGGGGAGGGCTCTTCCCTGGGAAGGGGGCACAGACGCGGGGGTCAGCAGTGCAGCACGTGGAGGAAACCAGGGAAGTCAGGGCTTCCCGGTTCCAAACCATCTCCATGGTTCTCATATTAAACAAAAAAAATATTCCAGTCACTTTAAAATCACCTTTCCTTTCACACAATATGTAAAAACTGCATAAGATCCATTAGTCTGTTTCAGCAGTTTTGCTCTTTTGGGTAAGATTCCAGCATGTATTAGGATAAATATCCAATCCTCATCCTGTGCTCTAAAACCCCAGGCCCTGAGAGCTGTCCTCTCAACAACGGACTCCAGTAGAGGTCACAGAACTTCACGATTCATTCATTTGGCACTAATGACTGTACAAAGCAATGCTGATGATCTTGATTTATTTGCTATCAGAGACAACAGAGGTTAGCAGACATTCATTGCCATGCACTGTCTGCCAGCAGCTGGCGTTCACCGCTGGGATGCAGCCTGACGGGAAAGCTGCTCGGGGCCCTGCTCGGCCTGCCCTCTCCCGGTTCCCACCACAATGCACACTCCTTGGGGCAAAAGCGACCTCCTTCCCCGCGGTGCTGTCACTAGCGACCAGCACAGTGCCTGACACACACTAGTACTCAGTAAGTATGTGACGGAGACACCCAATGAATATACTTCATTTTTGCATTCTCATCCAATTAAAATCAGACTTTACACCAGATTTCCGACGGAACATTTACACATTAAAGAATTCGCATGATGACAGCTCCGTTTTCTGAAGCTGCGGAAACGGACGAGAGCGGAGGCCTTCTTGCTCCAGCTTCATAAAGAGGAAGGAAGACGTTTTAGTGGACACAGGACGTTTGCAAGGGTGTGGAAGAGGGAAGATGGTGAAAGAAAGCCTGAGGGAGGGAGGAGCGTGGAGAGAAAACGCTGCAGAGAGCAGGGCGAAGAGAGTTCGAGACGGGCAGAGCCAGGCCCGGGGCCAGCGAGAACCGCCGCCTGTCCAGACCCAGGAGGTCCCGACCCAGGAGGTCCCGACCCAGGAGGTCCCAGAGCCAGGTCCCAGACGGCGGAACAACCCAGCGGCAAGTGCAGCGTGAGCGACAGGGAGGGGTCCTCCTGGAAGACCGACTTTGAGAGGAGGAAGACAGCAGCATGAGGGGACAGGCTGAGGCTGGGCATTTACTCACTTGTTCTTTTCGCTGAGAAAATGTAAATGTGTTTCTAGCCACTGGTATCCCCACTGGTGAGAACAAGGGAGAAACCTGTACCCTACCTTCTAGATTTTTTTTCCAATTAAAAAAAAGTAAACCATCAAATTACTTGAGCTAAAAGTCACCTAACTGAATATGCAGGATTAATCTTCTAACATTAATATATACTTGACTTCCAACTACCAATTACATTATCAAATACCCGATGTGAGATCTATAAAAACCTTTAGGAAAAACAAAAGCCAAGACAATTAGCCCTCTGTCAAAAGCATTAAAAATCAAATGGAAAGCTTACCATCATTGGCTTGAAAACATTCAACTCGAAATGTCCATTGCTGCCCCCAACGGTGACAGCAACGTGGTTCCCCATGACCTGGGCGGCCACCATGGTCATCGCCTCGCACTGCGTAGGGTTCACCTTGCCTTCAAGAAACCACCAGGGAAGACGCCACATCAAACACACTCATGGCTTCAAGTATCCGTGAAGATGAGGTTTTACATCAAATAATCAGGATAGAAGGAAATCTTACTTCATTACATAAAGTAAGCACATGATAAGGCAAAACCCCACGCCCACCAGCCAAAGAAAAGGAGATGGGTAGCCGCAAACTGTGGATCATTCAATAGCTAATAACTACTGTGCAATGAGTACCTGCAACTACACATTAAATATAGGTCTCTCCATCTTCCTGGCTGTCATTCTGAACATACGACAGTAAGTAAGAAAGGTGCGACCCTCACCTCGCAGAGCCTGGAGGCTAGAGAGAGCGGCCGGAACCACAACAGGTGAGGGGTGGACAGAGAAATGCAGGCTGCCATGGACACTCTTACAAAAGAGGGACCTCTTCCACACTCGGGAGGCTTCTCAGGAGATGATGGTATTAACTGCAATTTTCCTACTCATCATATGAATCTCCAGAACCCCGCAACTCTGGTTAACACTCCTGACAAACTCGAGTTTTGAACCGAGCGCCCAGATTCCCCTGAACAATACAAAGCAATGCACTGGGAAGAGTATTTCCTTTTCTGTAAGTCTGCATTTCTCCTTTGTAGGCAATTGCTCTGAATTTGCAACCGCTGAACTCACGTCATTTTTCGACATGAAATGCTTTACAATCAGAGCTCTTCCAATTCTACGTGTGCAGTCAGGTCTTTCTTTTTCACTATCAAAAGTCACTTTGTCAGTTTCAGTCCGACCTACGGAGGCCCCCATGAACTGGCTCTGCCGCCTGATGTACTGCTGTCCCAGTGTCAGCACATGTTCTCTGCCTTCACCTTCAGGTCACCTGTCCGCCAAGACCCTCCTCCAGTCTGAAGTCAGCTCGCTGCCGCTCCTGAAATGTCACTGTGCGCCCAGCTACAGTCCTCTAACAGCGCTGCCCACACTTCTCCATGGATTCAACGGACATCACTGATGCGAGCCTGTCAAATGACTTGCTGGAACCCAGTGACTGTGTCACATCCCCAAAGCAAAATATGAAATAAGAGGCTTTTGGTATAATACATTTTTATTCAACCCAGGCTGATCACTTTACTGGTCTTTTCTAAAACTGTCTTGGCTTTGGCTTGTGAAAGACAGAATTAGTATGCCTTTTCCAGTGTGTCCTCAAAATGCATGCCGCTAACTAAAAAGTCTTTTCTCCTGCATTGCTGGGTGAGGTTCCCTGAAGCCCTGATCAAAGATGGCCCAAAAAAGCCCTGGCCGGTTTGGCTCAGCAGTTAGAGCATCGTTCCTTGGACCAAAGAGTCGCAGGTTCGATTCTGGTCAAGGGCACGCACCTTGGCTGTGGTTTGGTCCCCGGCCCTGGTCAGGGTCGTGCGGGAGACAACCAATAGATGTGTCTCTCTCACATTGATGTTTCTCTCTCTCTCTCTCCCCCCCCCAACTCTATCTGAAGATAAATGGAAAAATATCCTCGGGTGAGGATTAAAAAAAAAGATGGCCCAAAAAGACAATCTGAAACAAGGGTGCCGCACATGCCTCCACCCTCCTTTGGCATCACGGGAGCCAAAGCAAAGGAGCCTTGCCCTGTAGATGAGGACGCCGGGTGTGTCAAGAACCAGCTCTAACCTACCGCGCTGGGATTACCTGGCATGATACTGCTTCCTGGCTCATTTTCAGGCAAAATCAGTTCTCCCAGACCTGAGCGAGGACCAGAACCCAGGAAGCGGATATCGTTCGCTATCTTCATCAGACTGCAGGCGGTTGTGTTCATGGCTCCGCTGAGTTCAACCAGAGCATCGTGAGCAGCCAAAGCTTCGAATTTATTCGGAGCTGTAACGAAAGGTAGGCCTGCAGAAGAAGACAATAATAACCAACGAGTTAACAGGTAAAATGAAATGATTTTCGAACATCAGCAAGCTAAACAGAAAGTTCAGTGTATGAAAAACAAAAACAAAAAAAAATTTTACGTCAGAAAAAAATGATTAAGACTAAAGTTTTGTCTGCATATCTTCACAAAGTCCTGTAAGAGTAGGAAAGAATCAGTGACACTAGCACACTGCAAGATGAAGAAACAAGTCCTACCTATTCCGAAAGGGACAAGACCACCCACCTGCTGCAATCACTGCCCGAGGCCTGCCTGCGGGCGGAGAGCAAAGCGATGTCACTCTGCTCGTCACTCTGCTCTGCTCCACACTTCCCTGCTCAGTGTTCCCTCCACCTCGGGCTGCGCTCTTCTCCTCTCACCAGGGCCCACAAATCCTGACAGATTAGGGAGCCAAAATGACTTAGACCATCTCAGTCTCTCCCGTGTTCAAAGTTTTAAAGATCTACATATTACAATAGTTTTTCTTGATTAAAAAGCGATTTTCTGCTGCTAAGCCATAATTGAGCTGGGCTACTCAACTTAAAATCAAACTCCATTCTGACCAGTTATTCCTGCAGGTAAACACTTGAGCAGTTTTCTAAAAAAAACCCTGAGACTGACACCCAGAGGAACCATAAAGATAAGGGGTTAATGATGGCCTTGGAGGCACCATAAAAGAGAAAGAGATTAATCACTGCCCTGATCTCTGTAACAAGCTCATCTCGTCCCCTGCAACAAATTACTCCCTCACCTCTGTAATAACTTGATCAGCCCTGGCACCAAAAAAAAAGTGGCGCCAAGTGTATGTAGTTTTTTGAGAATGTAGTTTTTTTGGTAGTTTGTGCCTGTATCGGCAAGGAACAAAGGAGGCTCGGGGCTGCGATTTGGGAGACTATCCCCCGCAGCCCGCAGGTGAATAAAGTGCTCCTTTACAATTGGCTGTGCGTCTCTGGTTATCTCGCTGACGTTACAGCATAATGAGCACTGTATAATTATCTCTACCCTGACCTTCTGTTAACATCTGCCTCTTAATAAGAGTTTTCTGGACATGATAACTTGGCTCTAATTATCATTAGGGAGAGTATAGTACTCTACTAAAGAAAAGACAATTCAAAAGGTTCTAAGTTCAAAGAAATATCACAGCATGCCATAGGAAAAAAAGAAATTAAGTCTGTCAATCTCTACAACATATTTATTATTCAAATGAATCCCTCGACCATCAGTTGATTCTGCCTGTTTTGAAAATAAGTATATAAAACACCTTTAAAGAGCCTGGCCATGTGGCTTAGTAGATTGAGCATCATCACATGGACTGAGAGGTCCAGGCTCAAGACCCGGTCGGGACACATGCTCGGGCTGTGGGCTCAATCCCCAGAGGGAGGCATGCAAAAGGCAGCCAATCAAGGTTTCTCTCTCACATCAACATTTCTATCTCTCTCTCCCTTCTTCTCTAAGAAAATCAATAAAAAAATAAAAATAAACACCTTTAAAGAGAAATAATGGAATACCACCAGAGAGTAACAAAGCTAGCATGGACAAATTTTAGTTGCATGCTGGAGAGAGTGACATCACCAAGATGGTGGCATAAGTTGCTCCTAACTTTGCTCACCCTCACAAGAACAACAACAAGCTATTCAAGAACAAGACACCAGAGAGAATCCTGGAACACAGGGTGAGGCTAAAGCACCCCCTGCACCACAGAGAACAAGATGGCATCAGAAGGGTAAGAGAAGCAACTACAACATTGACCACACTGCCCCTCCCCAAGCCAGAGCAGCACCATGCAGAGATCTCCCATGAGCCTCTGGTTCCTCCAGTGGGAAAAGTGAAGCCAGGAGGACAGCTAGCCCCACCTGACCCCCAGCATTGTAGGTCACTTTGCAGGAGCCCCTACTCTGATCTCCCACTATGGGGACTGCAGGAGAATCTGCAGGGCACAGCCACTGGGAATCTGACTGTAATGAAGAAGGGGAAGGGGCCTGGGACACCCAGCATGATCTTGGCAGCCTGGTTTGCCCACGCCCAGGCAAGGAGCAAAGTCTCTTCCTGCAGTAAAGAGTATCTTCCAACTGCAGTGACCAGAAGGGCTGGTGACAACTCCGGAAAGCAGGGCAGCTCAGGGGCATTCAAGCCAAGAGATGGCTGGGCTGAACTGATCACCTGGTGCAAAGCCAGTGGCCCTGTTTGGTCAAGAAACTTGTGGATGGCTTAAATTAGGACAACAGAGAAAGCTTTACTGGCTTTAGAGCTGCTTCTCCCACTTTGCAGGGAAGCTACTTCATAGCCCCATCTATTACTGAAAATAGTGCCCAGTCCCAACCATCCAGTGAACCTGACCAGAGAATCCAGACAAGCACAAAGCCCATCCACAACCTCACTTGGATAGGAAACCAAGCCAGCCATCCTACCTAACAGTTCTCAGCCAATGGCGCATCTCATCCTGCCCCACAGCTCAAATAGTTGCCTCACCCCAAAATAGACCGTAATAGCAGGCCCCACCTGCCCATGAATATTACCAGCAAACACACCCTGAAACTCAAACTGAGCTGACTGGTTAAGAACTGTCTCCGACAAAGCAAACCTATAAAGTCTAGAAGAGGAGCCCAATGACTCAAATGTGCAAATATCAATGTAAGGAATCGAGGTTCACAAAAAGTCAGGTAAATATGATACCACCAAGAGAAACTAATAAAGTTCCAATAGCTGACACTAAAAAAATGAAGATCATGAACTGTCAGAAAAAGAATTCAGAATCATTCTCTTAAGGAATTTTGGTGAACTACAAGAAAACACAGACAACTAAACAAAATTAGGAAGCAATGCAAAAATAAAACACATTCAACAAGGAAATAGCAGCTACCAAAAAAAAAGCCCTACAAAACCTAGAAATCCTAGAGTTAAAAAATATAACTGAAGAATTCAACAGACAGTTTCAAAAGCAGCTAACTATGCAGAAGAAAAAGAATCAGCAGCCTGAAGGATAGGACATTGTAAATTGCCTAGTCAAGGAACACAAAGAAAAAAAAAAAAAAAGAGTGAAGAAAGAAAGCCTACAGGAATTATGGCACACAATGAAAAGAAACAATATTTGCATTAAGAGAATTCTAGAAGGAGAAGAAAAAGAGAGACAGAAGTATACTTAAAACAATAATGACTGAGACCTTCCTGAACCTTGGGGGAGAAATGAACATTCAGATCCACATGATGCAAAGAATCCCAAATAGGTTGAATCCGAACAGGGCTACAACAAGACTAATTATGATGAAATTATTAAAAGTCAAAGACAAAGAAAAAATTTTAAGAGAAGCAAAACACAGATATCACATAAAAGGTAACTCCCATACAACTATCAGCAGCAGATTTCTCAACAGAAACTTTTCAGGCCTGGAGAGAATGGAATGACACATTCAAAATACTGAAAGAAAATAATTGTCAGCCAAGAATTGTATACCTGGTGAAGCTGTCCAGAAATGAAGGAGAGATAAAGACTTTCCCAGAACAAAAACTGAGGGACATCATTACCACCAGACCTGCCTTACAAGAAAGGTTAAAGGGAGTTCTTTGCAGGGAAGTAAAAGAACACTAATTAAAAGGCTAAAGGGAGTTCTTTGAAGGGAAGTAAAAGAACACTAATTAACATCATAAAAACATAAAAAGGCAGTGTAAATTTCACTGGTAATGGTAAATACATAGTCATTGTTAGAGTCTACAATATGGTAATAGTGATTCATTTACAACTCTAAAAGTTTTTTAAAAAGTAGTAAAAATAAGCATAACTACAATAATCTGTTATTAAACAATATAAAAAAACATGTAAATTATAATAACAATCACCTAAAATGTGAGGGGAATAAAAAGTAAAAATGTAAAGTTTAAAATTCTACTGAAGTTAGTTGTTACCAGTTTAAAATACTTTATGTAAGCTTTATGGTAACAGGGGAAAATTCAATAATAATTATACAAAAGAACACAATGAAGTCAAGGTATACTGATACCAAAAGACAGCAAAACATACAAAAAGGCAGTAGGGTAAGAAACCAAGAACGGTGAACCTACAAAATAACATAAAACAATTAACAAATGGCAATAGTAAGTCCTTACCTATCAATAATTATTTTTAATCCAAATGGATTAGTTTAGATTAGTTCTCCAATTAAAAAACACACCATGTCTGAAAGGATTAAAAACAAAAACAACAAAAATAATAATAACAAGAGCCAATAATATGCTATCTGTAAGAGACCGACTTTACCCTTAAAGACACATATAGACCAAGAGTGAAGAGATGGAAAAAGACATTTCAAGCAAATGGTAAACAAACCAACAAAAAAGCAGAGATAGCTATATTTATATCAGACAAAATAGATTTTAACCAACAATGGTGAAAAGAGACAAAGAAGGTCATTATATAATGATATAGGGTCAATATATCAAGAAGATAGAACTTATATGCGTATATGCATAACCAATGGACACAGACAACAATGCTGTGAGGGGGGGTTGCGGGATAGAGGAGGGTGTCAATGGGGTGAAAAGGAGAAACATTTGTAACAAAGATAAATGTTTATGCACCCAAGATTAGAGTACCTAAGTATATAAAGCAAAAACTAACAGATCTAAAAGGAGAAACAAACAATACTACAATAATAGTTGAGGACTTTAAAATCCAACTTTCAACAATGAATACAGATCATCCAGACAGAATCAATACAGAACAACAGATTTGAACGCTATTTATCTAACAGATCTTACAGACACACCCAGAACACTCTATCCAACAACAGCATAGTTCACATTCTTCTCAAGTGGACATGGAACATTTTCCAGGACAGCCCATGTGTTAGACCACAAAACAAGTCTTAGCAAATTCATGAAGATAAAGAGCATATCCAGTATATTTTCTAAACACAATAGTATAAAGTAGAAAAAATACTCCTAAAATAAAACATATTTGATGGCAAAATATTATTTCTAACTTTAAATTTGCAAAAATTTAAAGCAGAAACACCCAGAAGATATATAGACTAGTATATTGAAATGAGCAATAATTCACATTATCACTGACCTGTGAGCGTGGCCACTTTTGCAGCAACCTTTTCGGCAAAGCCGATTCTAGTATTTAAACCAGTACCGACAGCGGTGCCTCCAGCCGCGAGCTCATAGATTCTTGGCATGGCAGCTTTTACTCTCATCATGGCGTATTTCAGTTGTTGAACATAACCACTAAACTCCTGAACAGAGAAAAAAGTTAAAGTGAGAATATATCATTTCCGAATGACTTACAAGTTACTCTAACTGTATTAAATAGAAGTTTTCTTAAATATGTCTCAGGCACTAAATTATAAGTTACTCAAGAGGTATGTATACTATTTTAATTTATATGATGAACAAAGTATTGGAAAAAATAAGGTTTTATAAACCTATGAGGTTAAGACAATGCCACTGATAATTTGCAGTCTGTTTAAAATCTAGTCTTAATAGAAAACAAAGAAAAACAACATAGAAAACAAACTTTTGGGCAGGGGGGAGGGGAGAGATAAACCAAAGAACTTATATGCGTATATGCATAACCAATGGACACAGACAACAATGCTGTGAGGGGGGGTTGCGGGATAGAGGAGGGTGTCAATGGGGTGAAAAGGAGAAACATTTGTAACAAAGATAAATTAATTAATAAAAAATAAAAAACAACTTAATTACATTAAATTATTGGTTTATTTACAAGTTATTTCTTATATTTTGGTGTATCCTAGATAACTTCGAGAAAGAAAAAAAAAAACCACTGAATTCTCTAAGAAAAATATAAACAAAGAAATATTCTCCATACAATTTCAGTTCAAAACCCTGATAGGGAATATGGCGATGTTTTAATTCTACTATTATCGTCACACTGGTTCCTACAATATGACTTACTTTAAATAAGGTAACCACAGAATTCAGTGTGTTTTGAACACAGCAAAGGCCTCCCTCATCCATTAAGAATTATTCAGGGACAAAAGGCATGAACTGGAACTCAACTGAACAAGCCAGGAAATGGTGTTACATTAAATCTATCTTTTTTCCTGTCTGAAAACACTGAAAAAACATGATACTTTTTATTACTTTATTAGAACCGCATATTGCTCTAAAGAAAACATTTAAAAAGATATAACTCCTGCCCTGGCCAGTGTGGCTCAGTTGGTTAGGCATCGTGCCATGCACCGAGAGGTCTTGATTCCGGGTCAGGGCACGTGCCTGGGTTGTGAGCTCCATCCCCAGCAGGGGGCGCCTAGGAGGCAGCTGATTCACGTTTCTCTCTCACAGATGTTTCTACCTCTCTCTAAAATAAAAATAAAAATATTAAAAAAGATATAACTCCTTTCAGGTAGACCTGATCTATCTGATCTAACAGTGCCTATACATACACCAGCTGCATTCACTCGATAAATTTATTTTTATTGGGGAACAAAACTGTACAAGCTAAAAAGACAATTCTAATAAAAGCAAGTATAAATGCTTCCGATAAGATAAAGTCAAATTGAAAAACACAACAGTCTGTCCTAATAGGTTAAATCATATTACATAGGAGGGTATGTCATAGACCAAGGGGACTTTAGCATAATGGTTTTCCAACATGTGACACACACACAAATAAGAAAAATTCTGGAAGCCAGAGGGATACTGAAAAGTTCCAACGACACTACATCTCCTTAGAAATTAAACATGGTACTAAGAACCAATGATGCAAAGAAAAACAAACACAGTTTTAAAAGGTAACTTCATTTGGTGCGCTCAGTGTAGTCAGATGATCTGTATTTCAATTAATCATTTCAAGTTTTCCTCATTCCTTAGTGATAAAATTAAGCTACATAATGAAGCTTTTTTCAGGGTTTGCTATCTTCGGAACAAGACTATAAGTGGTAGGAAGTCAGCAGCAGTCAAACTCAACCTCACCTCAATTTCTACAAAACTATCATTTGATACTGTGCATATATAACCATTTCTTGATATATAATTTGTATTATATACAAACTGGAGCTTACTAAGACAAAAGCTGTTCCTTTTACTTCCTAAGATTTCCTTTGTGATACATACTATTAGACATCCTTTAAAGTACTGATAAAAGAAACATACAAATATTTTCTGGTATTTTGGGAAAGAGAATATTACCTCTTTCAAATGAATGCAGCCAAAACAATGTTAGAGTAAGATTGTGCCTTTTTTTAAGCACTTTAATATCAGCATTTAAAGAATCTACTAATTTAGAGTAAGACATAAAGGGAGGATGAAGAGGATGGTGATGATAGCTAACACCAGTATGTGCTTGCTATGGTCAGGCTTGGTTTCAAGCACTCTACATTCATCAGCTTATTTGAACCTCACAACTATTCTGTTAGAGATATTATGTTCTCATTTTCCAACTCAGAAAACTGAGGCACAGAAAGGCTAAATAATTTTCCTAAGGTCCAAAAACTTGTACACAGCAAAGCTAAGGTCTGAACCTGAGCAGACTGACTTGGAGTCTGGCTCATAGCCAGCAGGCTCTGCCCTTCCCCTCAGTGGATGTCAACAAAGACTAGGCGGGTAATGCAGAATCTCTGACACTGACCTGAGCTAGCACAGGTCTGGCCTTTAAACCGGTGTGATTTAGTGGGTAATATGCTGGCCATTCGTATCAACCCCTAACTGAACCAAATCCAATCACACCCCTATACCTGCCCAAGAGTGAGCGGGACAGCATCCTGGGTGTGCGTGCGCCCAATCTTGATGATCTGGGCGAAGTCTTTGGATTTCGCCTGCAGAGCGTCGTGCAGCTTCTGCAGCCCCGGCAGCAGCACTTCGTGCACTTCCATAGCGGCAGCAATGTGCATGGCCGTGGGGAAAGTGTCATTGGAGCTCTGTGGGACAGTTTTCAAAAGAAATGGAAAATGTTAAGTCAGAGGCAACAAAAAACTAATTTGCATGTCTCAATTAGAAATCTCATTAAATGACTACTCAAAACCTAGCATACTTTTAGTACTCAATTACACTTATGTGTGGCGAGTCTGAGGCCAGTGAGGATGAAATCGGCAACCTGCTTGCCTTCACGGAATGTTCTTGGGGCTGCATTATCCGCCACCTACAATGGCTCCGTTATCCATTGTATATCTGCCTGCCGACAACTGGCAGCACGGAATGGTGAAGCGCAGTTAGCAAGTGCATGGAAGGGTAGCAGCACCATCTCATGGTTACATTGTGCGTTCAGCCTCTCATAAACATTTATTCCCTAATGAAACTCAAGGAAAATTCTGAGGTAGATCATCACTTTAAAAAGAGGAGTCAAGCTGTGGAAAAAAATTATGTGACTTGCCAAAATATTTAGAACTGGCAGAACTGGGACCTGACCAGGAAGTCAAAATCCTGTGCTCTGTCCTCAACTGTAACTCTATACTTCTCAACTATGACACTGCTCGAAAAGGCAGATTCATTATTTATTTTTTAACTTTTTATTATGGAAAATATCAAATTGCTTACAAGAGTAGGATGAATGATATAATGAACACGCATGTAGCTTTCACCTAAACTCAGTAATTATCAGCACACAGTGAACCTGCTTCATCCATGACCCACCTCATCCCTCCACCTGACCACACGCACTGCGTCACTCTGAAGCAGACTTCAGATTTCAGTAGATGCAAAAGATAAATTCATACGTAAAAGCAAGCACTGGGCTTGAAAAAAATCCTTCACACAATGCATTTATGTGAAAAAAACTTCCCCCTTAATACTTAAAAATACTATATTAAATTACACATAATATCCAGATCTTAAATTCTACACATCCTATACCAATAAGACCCTCTAAGAGTTCCATGGAAAATGTGTGCTTATGGGACTGGGGCAGGGAAAATACAAGATGGTGAGCTGGTAACATCTTTCAGCACTAGAAAGTGGGGTTTGTTTGTTTTCAAAGGATGGTGGCATGTCCAAAGTACAGAAGAGCCAATAGAGAGGGCTCTCAAAGCTGGAACAATCTGAGCAACAATAGAAATAACAAAAGTATTGGGGATAAAAAGCATTTGATTATAACGAAGAATAAAATAAATGTTCATGAATCCATACCGATATACAATTATGACTGAACAAATAAATAAATGTGGGGAGAAAGGAGAGGACAAATCTATACAGCAGATTTTAATTAATAAATGTACAAGGAAGGAGAGGCATAGGAAATCACTACTAAAATACCACCGCAGTAATTGCCCTAGCAAGAGCCAGTGATGAATGCTAAAATTCATGAACAAAAGTTTAAGGAGAGTGCCCTGGCCGGTTTGGCTCAGCAGTTAAGAGTGTTGGCCTGTGGTCTGGAGAGACCCGAGTTCGGTTCTCGCTAAGGGCGCGTACCTCAGTTGCAATTTGTCCCCGGCCCTGGTTAGGTCATGTGGGTGGCGACCACTCGATGTGTCCCTTTCACGTCAATGTTTCTCTCTCTCTCTGTCCCTCCTACTCTATCTGAACAAAATATCAAAAAATGTCCTCGGGTGAGGATTTAAAAAAAAAAAAGTTTAAGGAGAAAGGAGATTTGCATAGCCTCACAGTTCTCTATTAGTTGTGATTTTAACTCATGTGCAAAACCTTCTTGACATCCCTTCCTTTAGGGAGTGAAGCTTAGTGCAGCATCTGGAGCGCAGGCAGGACTTAGTGACCACTCCTAGCAGAGAAAGGAAGGAGGAGAAACCTGCAGACTCCATCCCAACCAGTGACCCCAGTGAGCATCACCAGGACCGAGGCACGTGGCTATCATGCACCCCTGATATGAATCAATGAGAAGAGCCCCACTTCTCTAACAGTCATCCCCAAATCCACAGTCTCAGTCTAATCACGAGAAAACATCACACAATGCAAAACGGAGGGACTAAATGCCTGACCACTACTTTGAAAAGTGGCAAAAGTCATGCTGTCATAAAGTGGAGGAGACTAAGGGGAAACTATGACTAATGCAGTGTAGTCTGGGTGGGATCCTGAAGACAAAAAGGACATCAGTAGAAAACTAGAGAAGTCCTTACACCGTCTGCTTAGTTAAGAGCATTGTACCACCGTTAATTTTTTAGAGTGGTAAATGTGTCAGGTTTATATAAAATGTTTAAGATTAAGGGAAGCTGGGTAAAGGGTATACAGAAACTCTTTGAAGGATCTTTGTAATCCTTTTATAAATTTAAATTATTTCAAAACGAAGAGTGTAAAAAAGAAACCAAAACAATAAAAATATATATACACACTAAATACAGCTATCCTAACAGTAATTTTTCCCTAAAAGTAATTTTATGAAGTTTAAGACATTAGACCCAAGATTCCTGAAAGAAATAAGAACATCTAAGAAGTCCTTTCCATTAAAGAATATAAGCAGAATGAACCTCCTTGTCAAAAAGTCAACATCTGTTTGATAAGACAAATCTCAGGTATTCTTTTCAATTTAAAACAAAGGAAAAACGAGATAAAATACCGACCTGGCTTTTATTAACATGATCATTGGGATGCACAGGTTTCTTGCTGCCGAGTTCACCTCCCAGCATTTCAATTGCTCTGTTGCTAATGACTTCATTTACATTCATATTTGTCTGGGTTCCTGACCCAGTCTGCCACACCACGAGAGGAAAATGATCATTTAATTTACCTTCAGCTACCTGCAGAGCAAAAAGTTTAAAAAGGAATTTTAAAAATAAGGCACTATTCATTTAGCTATGTTAACCAGCTATGATTAAGTGGGCATATATTTAGAGTCCTCTTTTAAAGATATTCACTTTTTTCCCAGGCTAAATGGCCTGCTGATGGCGCCACACAGGTGTGGTTGTCCACCAAGGCTACAATTCCGCAGCATCGCTTGTTTCAACCACGGCTTCTCCAAACAGGGAAAGACAAACTATTGGGAATCAACTAAGCTGAATCAAACCTAGCTTTCTTCTATTTCTCCAACTGCCTCCTCTACTAATATGCAGATAGGGCCACCCATTAAAGCTGGCAAATTGCTAAGTCTTTAGATACATTTAGTGTTGGTGATCAGCAGGCATATCCAACAGATGTTCCGGCTGGAGTCACCATAGTGAACTGGTGACTGGAACCTGAGGACACTAATAGCTACTTCAGCGCACAGATGTCCAATGAGTAGCAATTGCCAAGAGCAGAGAGTCCAGATTTGTTCCTATTTTTGTCACAGTTTGATACTTTCAGTTAATATGCTAGTTTTTGGACTACAGCTTTCTAAGAGGGTGGGTGCTTCACTTCTTCTGGAATGATTTTACCTTAAAAAAAAAAATCAGCATGCACTTTAGAAATCTATTTTTCCTTAAACAATTGGTTCACTTGAACACTTTTTTCCTAGTTATCCAACACTAATAGGTGGTCAGTGTAGAACACTGTGGGAACTGAAAAGCAGCATACTCGTCACCCTAGTCCCGCCCCGGAAGGATGCCTGCCTGCGTCTGGCCTCTCCTTCCAGCTTCCACGCCACGCGATGCGAGTGTGTGTACATATGAAACACGTTCTGTTCGTTTTTTCTAAACAAAATTAGGGTCATAAAATACATACATTTTGCTACCTCTACCCCCACTACTTCTTATATGGCAGGCTTTGTTCTATGACATTCTTTAAAAAGCTAATTTTCTACAGCATCACAATATAACTTATTTAAGCAGCTGTTATGGTTGAATACTTCATAATTTTTTGTTATTATAAATGATACTGCAATGAACAGCATTATGCATAGTGTTTTTAAACTGTTATCTTTGCTTCCTTCAGATTATGTTATAGAGGATTAGTGAAATTACTTCCTCAATACATAGTATTATCAAATAACCAGTTTTTAAGTGAATCATTTACATATAAAATATAAAGTGTCTCTTCACAAAGGGTTCTTGAAACTACACAAATTAAAGGAAAAGTCAAAAGAATAAAAACTAAAAGGTATACAATCATCCACAAATTTTGCCACAGTATATTAAGCACCAAATTTATATCCTCACCAAACAATAATGCTACCTTGAGATTCATTAGCTCAAACATTTACAGTGCCCATCCCTCCTGCCAGAGCTTATGCCCAGTGGATGGCACGGTGGGATGCCCTTAGGCAAACACACGGTCACCTCCTACCTCGTCTGCAGCCTTCATTATTGCATTAGCAATCTTTGGATCAAGACCATAATCCTGGTTTACTTCCGCAGCTGCTCGCTTCAAGATGCCAAAAGCTTTAATAACTGGGATCTAAAAGTAATCAGAAAAATACCTCAAATTTGCAATTTTGGTTAAGTATGAAAATTTAAGATTATAATGTTATGCAGGTGCAAAAGTTGTATATAAAACAGTAACCGAAGTAACACCAAGACCCTAAAATGTTCAGGATATAGAGAAAGATTACAAATCAGTAAATAATGAACCAAGAATCATCATATATCTATTTTTTTAGGAACCAAAGAAAAGCAGATGCACTGACTCTTCACATATGTGTGTGTATGTCTCACACATGTACAATGTACCATTCATCCTACTTTTGGTAATACCTTATAATATATCTGTGTTTATTTCATATATGAAAAGACAAACAGCGCTCAATCATATCACCAGCAATCAATGATTTTCCCTTGCTGGATCCCAATCTACATTATAATTTTTCCTTTCCTTCTCTTAAAAAAATTTAAAATATCAAATAAAATAAAAATTTAAATAGCAAATAAAATAAAATAATAAAATTAAAGTAGCAAAATGGTATTGGAATAACTGGACAGCCACATACAAAAGATTACAACCTACACAAAAATGAAGTGAAAATGGATTAGACTTGAGTGTAAAACCTGAAACCATAATACTCAAAAACAACACAGGCAGTGGGCTCCTCGACATCAGTCTTGGCAATGATTATCTTGGATCTACCTCTAAAAGCAGAGGCAACAAAAGCAAAAATAAGCAATGAAACTACGTCAAACTAAAAAGCTTCCACATGGGAAAAGTAAATCATCAACAAAATAAAAAGACAAACTACCGAATGGAAAAAATATTTGCCAGTCATATATCTAATAAGGGGTTAATATCCAATATATATAAAGAAGTCATACAACTCAATAGCAAAAACAAAAAATCTGACTAAAAAACAGGCAAATGATCTGAATAGACATTTTTCCAAAGAAGACATATTTAGTTGGTCAACAGACACAGGAAAAGGTACTTAACACCAATCATCAGGAAAATGCAAATCAAAACCACAGTGAGATACGACCTCACACCTGTCAGAATGGCTCTTGTCAAAAAGATAAGAAATAACAAGTGTGGGTGAGGAGGTGGAGAAAAGGGAACCCTTGTACACTGTTGGTGGGAATATAAATTAAGGGAAGCCTTGTGCATTCTTGATGGAAATATAAATTAGTGTAGCCATTATGAAAAACAGTATGGGGAGGGCTTCTCAGAAATTAAAAATAGAACTACCATATGATGCAACAATTCCACTTCTGGGTATTTATCTGAAAGAATATATATGCACCCCCATGTGAACTGCAGCATTATTTACAATAACCAAGATTTGGAAACACCTAAGTGTCCAATGGTGAATGAATGGATAAAGAAGGAATACTACTCAGACATAAAAAAAAAAAAATAGAATCTTGCCATTTGCAACATGCAAGACCTCTGAAATGAGTCAGAGGGAGAAAGACAAACATTGTACAATCTCAATGACATGGGGAATCTAAGAAGCATACAAAAAACCAAGCTCATAGATACAGAAAACAGATTGATGACTGCCAGGGACAGCGGATGGATAACGTGAGTGAAGACGGTCAAAGGGTACAACATTCCAGTTATACAATAAATAAGTCAACGGGATTTAATGTATAGCATGGTGACTATAGTTAATAATACTATGTTGCATATCTGAAACTTGCTAAGATATTAAAAGTCCTCATCACAAAAAGAAAAAGAAAAAAAATTGTAATTATGTATGGTGACAAAAGTCAACTAGACTTATCCTGATCATCCTGCAATGAATACAAATATTGAGTCACTATGTTGTACACCTAAAACTAATATAATGTTGTGTCAATTGTGCCTCAATAAAGTAAATAAATAAAACATACCTGACTGTTAATTAGTAAGAAATAAGCAGTAATTAAATGCGTCTCAATCCAAAAAACATTATATTTAATTGGTGAAGGCTTGACACTCACTAAGTCACTGGAAATTTCTCTTAGAATTTTTTAAACCCAGAGTTCCTTAAGATGATGGCTTCTCATACATATCACTATATTTCACACCCTTTTAGCTTGCAGATCATTTTCCTTTCTACTGCAAGTCACCTTCCCAAGCTTAGAAAAGCACGTGTTCTCGTGCAGAGGAATAACACAGACTGGTACAGCCCCCGTATCAGGCCAGGGGAAGAGCAGGAGGGAAGAAGGGAGGAAGACAGTGATGGATTTATAGAAGAGATGCCACAATCCTCAAGGGGACGTGAGAGTCGACAAACAGAAAGAAAGTAAGGAGTAAGGCACATTAAATGTAGGCCAAAGAGAAAACAAAATAAAAACAGAATATTTTTATTTTGAATTTTTAGAAAATAAAGTAAAACGTGTTTTACCTAAAGAAAATGAAGACAAAAGGCACATAGATTAGAAATTTAAAAACCGTGACGATCAAAACAAACGGAATTTAAATTTCTGTAGGAATTTGGTGGGTTAACCCACTGCCAAAGTCATAAGCGAATGCCAGCGAGCTCTGGCCATCTGACTGGAGTGACTGACCCTGGGTTTGTGGATTCGTACAAAGGAAAAAAGGTCACAGCCGAGAGTTCACTGAACACCATCAAAATAAACTGGTGAAATATATCACTGGAGAGAAAAGAAGGGTCTCATTATTGTTAATTTACTCCCACTAGAAGTTCATAATCATTTTAAATGTTTTCCTCTGGACTTCAGGTACAAAGGGTTGGGTTTAATCACATCGCTTAACTCAAGGCACACACACAGTCTGCTTCATATTTAATAAAGTTCAGGAAATTAATCCAGATGAAGGCAAATGTGACAAAACTGATCGCCCGGGCCCAACCTCCTCAGCCGTGTGGTCCAAACAGCTGCCCTGTCTCTGGAGCAGCGGCCCTGCACCCCAGAATTGCACCCCTTGCTGGCCGACGCAGGAAAGTCAAAACACGAGCCGTGCTTACTCCTACCCATGAGGGTCAGGACTGACCTCGTTAATCCCAGGAGTGAACTATCTGAGAATATTTTAGGATCAGTTGCTACCATCTGTCAGTGAACCGTGTCACCTGACCTCACCAAGCTGGCTGTAGGTGGCAATAACAAAGATTTTCTTCTAAGCAGATTCAACTGCCTGTTGTGAAATTGTATGAAACCTGTCGAGATCCAGTCTCGAAGGCTTAAGAATGAGCTAAAATATTATAAAATAAAAAGTAAACTTAGAAGGTAACTGTTAAACATTATCTCAGCAGGGGAAGCCTGGATATTTCCAGCTACTGGACTACCCTGCAGTGACTATCTTCCATACTCCAGCTGGGCTCCAGTAGGGTATGTAATATACTTAATTCTTTTCACACTTGAACTTTGCAATCACGGTGCACCTCACAATCAATGACATGTCACTTCAACTGGCAGCTCTTTTCTTTCTTAGTGGTACATATCGGTGCATCTTCTAACTGATGTCATCTTAGCTTTAATGAAATATGAGAGAAAGTGTTCTGACCATTAAATCATTCATGTGACATTGAATAAATACACATAATATCTCCTAGATGTCAGACATGGTAAAGAGTAAGATTTTTAGGTATTTGTGTATACTCTTCTGGAAACTGACACCAAGATTGACAGAAAGTATAATATTAAAGAAAACTTGGTCTCTTTTAAATCAGTTTTTAAAAACTCAGTGTTAATTGGTAAAATAAATAAATAAAATTTAAGTACTGAAATTAAAAATGCTTACAAACTATAAAATCCAAGTAAAAATCTGAACAATCTCAACAAAAATAGAAACAAATTACTTAGTTCCATCAAATAAAAATCCAAAATATTCCAAGTCACAACTCAAATTAATAGTATTCAAAAGTTCTTTGACATTTTAAAGATAGAAATATCTGTTCCTCGCAAAGGTCTCTAATAACTACATTTTAACTCTATACAATTTTATTATAAAATAAAGGGACTCATTTGAACAAAGCCAAATGCACCCCAAATAAGCCAACGCTTCCACAAGCCCACTTACCGGCATGCGCTCCGTCACGCCTCCGATCTTAAAGTTCATTGTAGATCTCACAGTCTGGGCGCCGTAATACTTATCATTTGGGACCTTGAGTTCACCAAAGGTATCATACTCTATCCGAAAGGAATTTTGGCTAGCCTAAAGATAGAGAGAAGACACCGTTATGGCTTGAAAATAAATCAAGTATCAACAGCAGTTATATCATATCAACTGTAAGGGAAAGTAACCTAGGTAAGTACTGTAAAGACAAAATATTCCACTTTTACTCTCATTCTACTCTCCTCTTCCAGCTCTTTCCTTGAGAAATTGTTGTCGCGCACATTTATTAATATAGATATTAAAGGCATTACAGAATTCACATACTACACAGATAATAAACACCCAAAAAAAGCTTTTGAAGTAGAAATAATCTTTTCCAGTTCAGGAGCATGCCTATCATTGGTCAAGCTTTGGCCAATTCAATGTACTTTATTTATTTATTTTTTTTTATCCTCACCCGAGGATATTTTTCCATTGTTTGTACAGATAGAATGGGAGGGATAGAGAGGAAGGGAGAGAGAGTGAGAAACATCGACATGAAGGGACACATCGAGTGGCTGCCACCCACACAACCAACCAGGGTCGGGGACAAACTGCAACCGAAGTACGTGCCCTTAGCGGGAACCGAACCCGGGTCTCTCCGGAAAGCAGGCCGACGCTCTAACCGCTGAGCCAAACTGGCCAGGGCCAATTCAATGTACTTTACTGGAAACTTTAGAAAATGGTCTTAGAAAGATACTTTAAAATTTGAAAATATTGTATATTTAAACAGAGCTCAACATGGTCCACAGATCCCATGCATGATAGCTTAGTGCAAGCCACGTAATCCAGACTGTGCTTCACCTTCAGCATGTCAGTTTTTCTCATCTATAATTTAAAGAAAATGTACGGACCAAAGGATAGGGACTAGGTTAGTTCTTAAACTTTTCAGGGTGATGGGACCCTTTGGAAATATGATGAAAGCTATGGATCCTCTTTAGAAAAATTAACAAAAATGCATATATATAAAATCTTACATATAATTTTATGGAGTTTATATCTTAAAGCCAATCCACCACTCAGAATAAGAACCTATGACCCAAAGTCCCTTTTATGGAGGACCTAGGATTCTACCAAGTATATCAATTTATACTAATAAAAAACAAACAAACAACAACAACAAAAAACAATAACTGCTCAGAAAATATTTTATAATCCCAAAAAATTTACTGTAAAACACTGGATATTTGGAATTTACACATGATACTTTATATTAAGGAAATTTCAAAGAGATACTCAGAGCTTTAATTAATGTTCATCTAGCATTAATTATGAAATAAGCATGGTCAGAGGATTCAAAAGATTTAAAAATCCCTACCAAGTAATGTTGTTTTAGTAAATAGTCTTCTGAAAAGGAAAAATTTAATTTATACTTATCCTCTAGGACTAGAAAGATTTACAAAACCCTTTATATGCTATAAAGACTTTTAGGCTGCATAAAAAGACAAATATCATTGTACGCAGGTAGCAATATAGGAGTAAAACCAGTGAGGTTATACACTATTTTTCTATGCCTAAAAGTCTGCAGAGGACTGGCCTAAGCCAGTAAATAGAAGCTAATAAAAATAATCATACTTTGGCGTTTACTGTGCTAAGCAGCAAACACTTTTCAGTAATTACCTTATCCGACTTTCACAACCATCCTAGGAGATTTTACTGTACCACCCTTGCCTTAGAGAAGGAGACACTGAGGCTTGGAGCAATTAAATGATCTTAGCAGATCATCCAGACAGCAAGGGAGACAGCCTGAAATGTTAAAACCCTGGACTGTCAGATTTCTAAAGCTGTTTGGATTTGTTTTTTATCACCACTTCCATAAACGAAGAAACAGAGCAGTAATTCCAGATAAGGCCACAACAAGCCCTTGAGTTGTACCCCTACACTGTAGAATAAAAGGAGCTAAAGATGTACTTGGAGTTTTCTAATAGAGGTTGGTTACACTGACACTACTGTATACAAATATGCCTCCTACTCTGTAGGCCAAAAGCACCTGGGTTCTACACCTCAAATGCACAAACAAAACTACTTTGCACTGAGATCCTTGTTTTGGATATCCTAAGAAAATAGCCTTGCATGTTAAAAGTTACTTGGTCCAGCACTAGCAGTGACAGCAGCGGCACTGGACACATGGTTCTTCCTCCTCTCCATCACCTCGTTATGTGCCACAAGATGCCAGCAACAAGGAAGGGAGATTGACTTCCATAAGTCATTTGTGCAATCAGGTTCCACTCCTAAAATTCACACTATTGCTTTTTGTGTTCAAAATTAAGTTTTCATCATAAAACACCAATCACTTTGTCACCTAAATAACAGGCATCACCCTGATAACTCCCTGAGACCACCCCCCCCCCACCCCGCTCCACCACAAAGGTTACACGCCCCAGGCAGGTGGCAGCTGGCCTTGGTGTACTCTGGAAAATTTGCTGAGTGGCCTCATACCCAGCACTTGTGCCAAGTGTGAATCTGTGTCAGTCTGGTGAACACCACTTGCCCCCACCAAGGGACTCAGGAACTTGCACACCATCAACGGCTCTTTCAGCGACGGAGCCAGCAGGCAGCTGGCAGGTGAAGGTGCACCTCAGGGTGCTTTGGACATTTTGCTGACCTGCCCTGGGCTCAGTTCTTAACTTTTCAAGATTATGAATCTCTCTGGGAATATAAGGAAAGCTACGGAAACCAGTCTTGGTGCACAGCTTGGCCCCTCCCAAGCACATGCAGGCCCAGCAGAGGCAGCCACAAATGGTGGATGACTGTGTAGCTCCAAACAGGTAGCCCAGGGCTGGTCACAGGCAGAGCGTGACACTGATCTGCACCAGAGTGCCTCCCAAGAGGCCCCAGAACCAACACACAGGATGGTGAGCTTCAGACCACACCAGAGCACAACCCAATAAGCTTCACAAGCGGCACATCCAAAGAGAGATCTCAGCAGACACCAGACCCTGCTGAGGCGAATTCCACTTTGTGGGTCATTCCCTGCACAACAGCTTGTACATTGTGGTCGGAAACAATCCTCATAGTCAGGCAGCCTGAGGGTCAACCATACCTATGAACAAGCCAACAGTAATTAAGAATCAACTACAATAGGAGGGCTCACATAACCTGCACAAGGGACATTCCTGGAGCATCTGACTCAGGTGAGCAGAGAAACTGCGCCATTTAGCTGAACAGTATACCTACTACCTAAGGCCACCCGACCAAGACTGGGAGACATAGCAGATCTACCTAACACAGAAACAAATAGAGATGAAATCAAAATGGGGTGACAAAGAAACATGCCCCAAATGAAAGAAGAGGAGAAATTCTCACAGATAAAGAACTAAATGCAATGTCGGCAAACAATGTACCAGATACAGAGTTCAAACAATGGTTATAAGAATTCTGAAGAAACTTAGAAAACATTTTTAAAAAAAATAAAAAATGAACACAACATCTGAAATAAAGAATACACTAGAAGGACTCAACGGGAGATTAGATGAAGCAGAGGACTAAATCAGCAATTTGAAAGACAAAGTAGCAGAAAACAGAGCAGGAAACAATCAGAGCAGGAAAAAAGAATGATGATAGTCTAAGGGACCTCTGTGACAACATAAAGCATAACAACATTTGTATCATAGTGGTACCAGGAGAAGAGGGAGCCTATTTAAAGAAATGACTGAAAACTTTCCTAACCTGGGGTTGGAAAAAGACACACAAGTCCAGGAAGTACAGAGAGTCCCAAACAAGATGAACTCAAAGAGGCCCACACCAAGACACATCATAATTAAAATGGCAATGGTTAAAAACACAGAGAATCTTAAAAGCAGCAAGAAATAGTTACCTACAAGGCAGCTCCCATAAGACTGTCAATGAACCCAGCCGATGTGGCTCAGTGGTTGAGCATCAACCCATGCACCAACAGGTCGCCAGTTCATTCCCAGTCAGGGCACATGACCACGTTGTGGGCCCAATCCCCAGTGTGCGGCATGCAGGAGGCAGACAATCGATGTTCTCTCTCATTGATATTTCTATCTCTCTCCCTTTCCCTTCCTCTCTCTCTAAAATCAATGAAGAAAAAAATTTTTTAAAAGACTGTCAATTGATTTCTCAACAGAAACTTTTCAGCCACAAAGGATTGGCAATGGAATATTTAAAGTAATGAAAAGCAAGGACCTACAATCAAGACTACTCTACCCAGCAAGGCTATCATTTAAAATTGAAGGAGAAATAAAAGGCCTCCCAGACATGAAAAAGCTAAAGGAATTCATTACCACCAAATCAATATCGCAAGAAATGTTAAAGGGGCTTCTTTAAGAATTAGAAAGAAAATAAAAGAGAAACATAGTTATAAAAAAAATAAAATGGCCATAAATACATACCTATCAATAATCACTTTAAATGTAAATATATTAAATGCTCCAATCAAAAGACATAGGGTAGCTAAATGGATAAGAAAATAAGACCTACATACATGCTGTCTACAAGAGATCAACTGAAGAATGAAAGATACAGACTAAAAGTAAAAAGATGAAAAAAGATTTTTCAGGTAAATGGAAACGAACAAAAAAAAATCAGGGGTAGCAATACTTATATGCAACAAAACAGACTTTTAATAAAAGACTATATAGTAAGAGAAAAAGAAGGACACTGCATAATGATAAAAGGATCACTCCAATGAGAGGATATAACCTTTGTAAACATTTATGTACAACACAGGAGCACCTAAATATATAAAGTAAATCTAGACATAAAGGGAGCGATCAACACTAACACAGTCATACTAAGGGATTTTACCACCCCTTGACATCAATGGACAGATTTTCCAGACAGAAAATCAACAAGGAAAGAGCAGACTTAAATGACACACTAGGCCAGATGAATAGAATCGATATTTTCAGAGCATTTCATCCCAAAGCAGCAGAATATGCATTCTTTGCAAGTGCACATAAACCATTTTCCAGGATAGAACACAAACAAGTCTCAATAAATTCAAGAAGACTGAAATTATCTCAAGTATCTTCTCCAACCACAATGGTATGAAATTAGAAATCAATTACACACATACACACACACACACACACACACACACACACAAAACCTGAAAAACACACAAACACATGGATGCTAAATAACATGTTACTAAACAATGAATGAGTTGACAATGAGATCAAAGAAAAACATCAAAAAATATCTTGAGACAAATGAAAATGAAAACACAACAACCCCAAATCTAAGGGACACAGCAAAAATAGTCCTAAGAGGGAAATTCAAAGCAATGCAAGCCTACCTCAAGAAACAACAACAAAAATATATCAAATAAACAATCTAACCTTACACTTAAACCAGAAGAACAACAAACAAAGCCGAAGTGAAAGAAAGAAAATAAAGATCAGAGCAGAAATAAATAAAATAGAGTCTTAAAAAAAAAAAAACAATACAAAAGATCAATGAAATCAAGAGCTGGTTCTTTGAAAAGATAAACAAGACTGCTAGAGATTGCTAAACCTTTAACCAGACTTATCAAGAAAAAAAGAATGACTTCAATAAATAATACCAGAAATATAAGAGAAGTAACAAATGGCACCACAAAAATACAAAGGATAAGAAAATATTATGAAAAACTATATGCCATACATGCCAACAAATCGGATGATATGAAAGAAATGGATAAATTCCTAGAAACATACAATCTTCCAAAACAGAATCGAGAAGAAATAGAAAATGTGAACAGATCAATTACAACTAATGAAATCTAAGCAGTAATCAACAAACTCCCAACAAACAAAAAGTCCCGGACTAGATGGCTTCACAGGCAAATTTTACCAAACATTCAAAGAAGAAACTAACACCTATCCTTTTCAAACTATTCAAAAAAACTCCAGGAGGAGGGAAGACTTCCAAGATAATTTTATGAGGCCAGCATTATCCTAATTCCAAAACCAGACAAAGAAGGAAAATTATAGGACAATATCCCTGATGAACATATATGCTAAAATCCTCAACAAAACATTAGCAAACCAGATCCAGCAGTCTCTTAAACTCCATGCACATGGCAACTATCTTATTCCCAGGGCCCAATACACAGCAGACATTCAATAAACATGTTTTCTTCCTATTGGATGAACTCTATGTGTTCTTTTAGATAAAAGGCATCTAGGGTTATATGAATTTCTCAATACCAGCAACAAAAACTTCTAATAAAATCAACACAGAGATTTTGGAGCTGAAAAGATTAGAAAGCAAACATGTATTTAGAATGATGAAAAAAAAATCTATCCTCACCTGATGTTAGCTAACATTAAAATCCTAAAAGCAAGGCATGCCATTTTTTAATTTGGACCAACTGGGTAGGTTCAGTTCTTAAGTCTCCCATTCCCTTTTTAAAAAAACGCTAAATAAATAAAAAGTAACTTTTAAAAAGTTTTAAAATACACTAAAATTATTAGATTAGGGAGTTCAGTTCCAGGATATAAAACATCCCTGATTTTGTGGTTTATAGTTCAATGTCTTGAACTTTGAAATACCGCTTACGGAAGCATTTACAGTATTTTATGAGCCCTCACTATGTGCCAAACCCAGTAAAGTACATTCACGGGTACAGTCTTGCTGAGCAGCTGTTATTATTTTCATTTTACATGCAGAAACAGAGGCACACAGACAACCTGTCCAAAGTACCAACCTTGGGTAGCAGAGTATGGTTTGAAATCACGTCTCTTTGACTGTACCAAGGACAGTACAGTGAACAGTGCAGAACTGTACCTCTTCCTAAACCATCATTTATTTCCCAAACTTTCCTAACAACATACATGTGTACACATGTATTTAATGCTTAAAGCCTGAATTACCGAAGGTGACGATCTAAAGAGTAAAGAGACCTATTTAAGTCAGCGTGTCATCTTGAACTTGGGGGTCTTTCAGCTCCTGAGTGATCTTTCTGAATAAAAAGTACAGCCCTGGCCAGTTTGGCTTAGCGGTTGAGCGTATGCTGGGGACCAGAGAGTCCCGGTTCGGTTCCCGCTAGGGGCCCTTACCACACACACACACAAAGTACTGATTCAGCTATAGTCAGGTCCTATCCAACAGGCTTCAGGGTACTCTACCCTCGTTCACAGATTTCAGGGTTTTTCAGAAATGAAGTGGGGTGCACCATCCGCAGCCTAACGAACTAAGTAGGCAGTTTCATGAGAAGTAAAATCTTTGAAATTCCTAAGAACCTTCAACCCCACCTGGACCTCAAAGCGGCTCAGGCAGCGTGGTGAGCCTAGAAGCCCAAGTTCAGAGGCGACTAGAGTTAGTACCGGCCAGCGTCGGGCCAGCCACACTCTCTTCCACCGGATTGTGTCCCGGGGACGGCAAGCCCGGCCGGGGGCCTCCGCACCCGCAGGAGCGCAGCAGCCAGCGGCCGACGCCGGCCACCCCAAAATGCAGAGGCCCAGCCCGCCCGCGGGGCGGCCCGGGAGAGCAGGAGCGGGACCCCGGCCGCCGGCGGCCGTCCCTGCCCCAGCGCTCACCCGGGCGGAGGCTCCTTCCTCGCTCTGGAGGAGGTGCCCCGAGCCGAGAAGGCCGCCCCGCCGCGCGGGCACGCAGCCCGGGGCCGGACTCCGCGGGGACCCCCGGGGAATCCTTCCCACCCGCCCGCGGGCGCCCGGGCCGGCCACCGGAGGGCTGAAGGTCACCGCGAGGAGGCCGGGGGACGGGAGCCCGCGCTCACCATTCGAGCGGCGTTCGGGGGCCGGAATGGGAGGGAGGCCGCGCCACCTAGGCCGGGAGCCGAGGCTGAGGCTGACGGTGGAACTCGCACCAGGCGACGCGAGCGCGCGAGGAGCCGGAGTGCCTGAGACATGGTGCCGCGGGAGCCTGGGTAGAATTTGTGAGCGGCGGTGGCCACGCCTTCGAACCGGCTGTCATTACCCGTCCAGCCCACAGGACCGCTCTTATCCAATCAACAGCAGGAAACGGATCGCGCTGGGCGGAACCAATAGTGAATAGCCAGTAAGGAATGAGGGGGCGGGCTTAACTTCCTTGCACAGCAACTATTTGAAGCCCTCGGATTCATGGGAAACTAGTTTGAAGGGAATTATGGGAAAGGAAGTTCAGGTTATTCTTTCAACAAGGGTGATTTCTGCTAGTGGATGCTGGAGAGGGAGGGTATTAGCTAACGAATCATCAGTTACTGTTTGGTTGGGGGAATATCCTAGAAAGAAATGTTTATTGATTCACTCATTTATCATGTAATCGCTCATTACATGTTCTTTGTAGTGGAATTATTTTTCATTTCTTCCAGATTACATCTTCTATGTAGAAATTTTGGAAAGCCCAGCAAAGTATGGAGAATGAAATAATAATTATCCATGATGCAACAACTTAAGATAACTACTGGTTTCTTCTAACTCGTCATTTTGAAGTCTCTACAATTTCCTTTCTGTTCTTTAATGTGTGCTGTCGGAACTCTCTTTTTAAATGTAGTGTGGATGTTCATATTTAAAAGTGATTTGGGAATTTTTACTACTTGCTTTTATGTTTTCCACGTGTTTTGCACTGATAATATATACATTTCAAAATTAAAGGCATATTGTTTTAATGTAACAGGTGGTAAAATGCAGGAACTGATAAAATTGTACCTGCATCACTTTCTGTTCCTTCTTTCTGTTGCTTGGAACGAGATGACAGTTTCTGTCCCTTCTTTCTGTTGCTTGAAACGAGATGACAGTTGATCAAGAAGCAGAACCACTGGATGATGTCCAGAAATCAAAAGTCCATCCAACCGAGCTTTTAACAGTTGGTCTCTGTCAAAGCTCTTGATAACACTGTTTAAGTTATTTGTGGCTTATGAATTGACTCATATGTATTTAAAATATGAAAATTTAAAGATAGAGCATAATAGTGAACTACAATCAAAATGTTTCAGAAAACCCACCTTTATATCTCAGTATTTCCTCCCTTTGTCAACAAATGGGTCAGAAATTCCTAAAACATTTGATGGAAAAGTGAAACCAAGGATTATTTAGAAGTTAGAAGTTCAGAATAAAGAGAAAGAATTAAAAATAGAAAACAATGAACCACCTATCTCATATGTTTACACTTTCCACCAATAAAAGGCAAACAATGCCTACATTAAAATCTGATGTGAAGCTAATAGTACTAGTGTTATCACAGGTTTGACAGAAACTACACAAACATTTACTAACAATTGCTATCATTTACTAGGAAATGCTAAAATTCTGAGGTATTTGCTTGATACCATTTATAAAATAAATAACAAATTACTAATAATGGGGTGGCATTTTCTTCCCCTTCTTCCAGCAACTCTGATTATTTAGATAGATATCCTTTTAGCTCACCTGTGTAGTTTTTGTTTTGCATGTTAGTGTGCAAACAATGGTTTGAAAATTTCACATTACGGGGTGGGGGGATCGGAAGGAGGGTGTCATTGGGGGAAAAAGAAGAAACATCTGTAACAAAAATAAATTAATAAAAAATGAAAAGAAAATTTTACTTTAAAGTTTTACTGTTCTATGACTATGTTATTTAAATCTAGCCATGATGTTTTTAACATAACAGTATTCTGTCACATAAATATAAAACATGTTATTTATCCAGTTTCTTAATGAAGGATATATTTTGCTATTACACACAATGCTTCAATGAGCATAAGTTTGTGATTACTTTATAAGGTCATTTCCCTCCTTCAATTGGGTATCATCCTTATTTATTCCTATTGTGGCTTATTATTTTAGATTTTTTTTATTGATATTTCTATGTCAGTATATATATTGATTATTTTTGCCTGATGTATGTTTCTCATTTTATTTTAGACAATGTTGTTTAATTTTTATTTTGAATGCATCTCTTTCTACCACACAGGTTAACTTTTTAAAATCCAAATTGGCCCTGGCCAGTGTGTCTCAGTAGGTTGGGTGTAGTCCCAGGCACCAAGAGGTCACCAGTTCAATTCCCAGTCAGGGCACATTCCCAGGTTTTGGGCTTGATCCCCAGTAGGGGGCATGCAGGAGGCAGTCCATAGATGTTTCTGTTTCTCTCTCTTTCTACCTCTCCCTTCCTCTCTCTCTAAAATCAATAAAAACATTTTTAAAAATAAAAAAAATCCAAATTGATAGGCTTTCTAGAAATGGCTATTTTCATCCCATTTAATAATCACCTACTGATAAACAGTACTTTTAAAAAAATTTATCTTTATTGTTGAAAGTATTACAGATATCTACCCTTTTCCCCCACTAACCCTCTCCTCCTCACTCCCACCCCTCCCTGACTTCTCCACACTATGGTTTATGCTCATTGATATACAGTACTTGTTATATTTAGAGCATATCTATCAAAAATATAGTCAGATTACTGTTTTCAAAAGAACTTAAAATAATCCCTTTTCTCCACATGATTATGCTAAATTTTGATGTAGTGTTTTCAGTTTTACATTTTGCTTTTATTTTCCTTTGATGTATTTTTAAATTTTGAATATATAAAATACTTACATTACTGGTTGCCTCTTATGTGGTTAGCACTCTGGTTTGATACCTGTCCAGCCCAGGTCTCTCTGTGTCTCCAAGATCAGTGAGTCATCTTGCCTTTTTTGCTGTTCTTCTTCATTCCTGGGAATATTGCATACTGGTTTTACAGAATGTATAAATTAATTTTTTAAAAGTTGCAAGTGGTTGCTGAAGCCCTCTTGGACTTATGTTTCTCACCCTTTTAATTTTCTGTAACTTTTGGTGAGCCTTTTTTTTTAAAGTAGAGAAAAGGCAGCCATTACTGGTTGGTCAGAGGAGGAGACCAGTTCATTTTGTATCTTCCCTTAACCATTTGCATTTTCTAGATATCCAATTATGGCTTCATATACCAACATTTCTTTCTTTTTGTTCGAAAACGTGCTTTTTTATGATTAATTTCTTCCTGGTTTGCTTTGATTTTTTGTTTGTTTTTTCAACTTTCTGACTTGAAATGTAATTCAGGGTGTCTACAAGGGTGCAGTATAACCCGGAATTGGTTCGTGGATGACTGTAGGTGGCCCAGGAATGCAATAGTAAATGTTGACTATTATCCCACCTTCAGTTATCTTCCATTCTCTCCTGGTTAGTAAGAAAACATTGTTTTGGTGCAAGTGTATATTTCACACCTCTCTAACACCTGCTAATATCCTTTTACAAAAAGAGAGGGAAAAATCTTTGGCTAGAGTTCTTCTACAGATATAGAATTCAGCTACAATTTGGTCTTTATTTGTATGCCCCCCTTCTATTTACCAATTAAAATGATTTTTCATTTGCAAAAGCAATATAAAGTTCCATTTTTTATTTAAATAAAATGTAGCCCGGCTATTGTGGCTCAGTGGTTGGGCATTGACCCATGCACCAAGAGGTTGCCAGTTCGATTCCCAGTCAGGGCACGTGCCCAGGCTGTGGGCCCGATCTCCAATGGGGGACATGCAGGAGGCGGCCAATCGATCTTCTCTCTCACTGATGTTTCTGTCTCTCTCCCTCTCCCTTCCTCTCTCTAAAAATCAATAAAGAAAAAAAATTAAATGAAATATATATTCATTTGAACCAATACATTGAGTATATTGTGGTAGGGCTATACAAGTGATTGAAATTTAGCAAACATAGGCTTAGTTAATTTATTTTCATTATTTAATAATGAAAGTGTAATGTAACTTCTTAATAATGAAATAATTAGTATTAAAATAAATGCCTAAGCCCAAGATGAAACTGCTCTTGCCCAGGGTGGCACATCAGCACACTGAAACTTAGATAACTTTTGTGTCCTTGTGAGTGGACTTGACCAGAAATGCAATATACCCGATTGGCCCATCTCCAAACTCCAAGCCAATACTGGCCTTCTCACGATGAGCAAGGTTGACTACATTGCCCCAGCCAATCAGATATTTGCTATTTCTTCCTTGTTCTTTACTCTTTATCCTATACAAGCTTTCTTTCTTCATCCCCCATTTGGCAGTTCTCCAGAAGAAGGTTGTCCATTTCATGAAGTGTTAATTCAATAAAGTTTGTTTGTATCACCTACATTGTCTTCATGAATCATTTTTAATAATCATTACTTGATAATAAAACTGTAATATAAATGTTTCTCAATCAATGGTTGACAGTAGACATCTTCATTTCAAGAAGCAACCTTTTATCTATGTAAAATAACACTTGTTTTTTTCTTAGAGGGTTTTGCAGTTTTCTACCTTGAACTTTGATAACAGTATTGACCTGCTTTCTTCTTGTTGATTTTTGTGTGGTTCATTCATGTGTCTCTTTTTGACTTCGCTTTCTGTTCTCGTGGGACTTGATGTCCTGCCATGAGGGCCAAAGGAGAAATGCAATGGCTTTCTCTTTCCTCTGTCTAAATCTCACCTGCTGACAAAATTGGGGATAAGTTTAAATTCTTTTTAAAAATGCATTTACTGGAGTGACACTGGTTAACAAAATTATACAGGTTTCAGGTGCACAATTCTATAACACGTCATCTGTACACTGTATTGTGTGTTCACCACACGAATCAAATATTTATCCATCACCATTTATCCCCCCAGGACCCTCCTCTGCTGCCCTCCACACCTATCTGCCCCAGTCTTATCAGTCAAAATATTCTGTTTATTCTAAAGACTTTGAAGATTCTAATTTAGTATACCTCCCAGCCTGGGAGATTACTAGGAGATTTCATAGGAGAAACAGGAGAAAATTTGGAATATGCTGTGAAAGTCTCCCAGAAAGTAGAGCAAATATTCAAAAAGAAGGAAAATAGAAGAGATAAGTTAATAAAATTAGAGAAACAGTCCAGTAAGTCCACTATCTGACTAATGTTGGAAAAAAAAAAGTGGAAGAAACCACCCAACAAATAAATTTAAGAGAGTATCTTAGAACT